GTCAACAAAATGAACACTGTTCAGTAAGCAGGAAAAGCTATAAGGTAATCAAACCCCTATATTTGCATTAAGCAAATTGATCTATATAATCATCTACTAGATTGTCGGTCATGCTGTTGGCCATGCCATCATACAGTAGAGGAAGATGTAATACCAGCTAGATTGTAGACGATCTTGCCAATAATCCGTATAGAATGCAAATCAAAACACCTCCTACACAAATTATTTAGTTCACCCTCACAGACTACCGTATATACTCGTGTATAAGTCGATCTCATGTATAAGTCGAGTGCAGTTTTTTGACCAACAATTGTGAAATATGCTATGCCTCGTGGATAAGTCAAGGGTAAAACTTGGGGCTATGAAATTCTGTGATTTTTATAATTATATACAAACAAACTCATACAAACAAACACACACTCTGCATTATATACACACACACTTATACAAACACACACTCTGCATTATATACACACACTCTGTGTATACAATGCAGAGTGTGTATATAATGCAGTGTGTTTGTGTAGTGTGTGCGAACTGGGTGGGGGGAGGGCATTTTAATTTTAATTTTTATTTTATTTTAATTTTTTTTTTTTTGTCCCCCCCTCCCTGCTTGTTAACTGGTCATGGAGGGGGGCTATCTTAATCCCTGGTGGTCCAGTGGCATGGGCTGTGAAGTGGGGGGGCCGGCAGGAGGCATTTACTTACCTTTCCTGCAGCTCCTGTCAGCTCCCTTCTCCTCCGTTCCGGTCAGCTCCACTGTAAGTCTTACGGTCTGGTTGCCGCGCAGATCATTGCCATGGCTCTGATGGCCGCGGCTCTCTAAGTTGCCATAATACAGACAGTGACTCGAGTATAAGTCGAGTGGGGGTTTTTAAGCACAAAAAATGTGCTGAAAAACTAGACTTATACTCAAGTATATACTGTACTTGTGATCCATTATTTTTAAAAGCATTGTATGGGTAATTCCTTAAAATTATGCAAAAATAAATAAATACAAATAATTCTACTAAAAATAAAAAATAAATCTTTAAACAGTTGCTTAATATGCATAGCAAGGGTTTTTGGTACTTGTAGTGCAATTGTCAGCATTCTACTATAACTAATAGCTATGCTACCACTCTCTATGGTATCATATGTAGCAGTATTTGTAGAGCAATAGTTAACAAAATATAAAGTGGCAGATCAGAGAGGGTGGGTGTATGGTGCAAAATTAATATTTATTTATAAAATTAAAGAAGATTAGTTAAAAAAAAAATACAGACACCACGGAATTGCAGATTTAAGACCAAACTAGTCAAAATAGAATCTTTCTCTAAGTCAGATCTGATTTCAACAGATGTTTTCGCCTAAAATTTACTTGCAATTACTTCATCAGTTCCCAATAGTTCAGGTTTTAAGAAATATCCATTTTAGGGTAACTAACTCTAAATTAATCAAAACATTATTTTTTTTTAGAATGCCCCCTTAAAATACATATTCCTAACATTATAGTGTCATAGTCACTGTTAAGGTGAAGTAACAAATTAAGTTTTCTAAAATGTTCTCCCTCATCATAGTGCTTTCTCATTAGAATGCATTGGGAGACTAATGCTCATGCTCAGCAGATAATCTCTATGGTACCATTTGACTGTAATACCTGAGTTTTACTATGCTATTTTGTTGGGAGCTTCTCTAGTGGCTGACAGTGGCTGGTTTTCAACCACAGAAAAACATAAATATTAAGAGAAGCCATATTCACACATGTATAGTGTTTCAAAGTTAGATCATAGTAAGTAGGGCAAATAAATCTATGTGTGTGTGTGTGTGTGTGTAATGTATGCATAGGCATGCACAGCCTATTGCATTAGGGTGTGCACCCTAAAGCACAAGCACACGCCGCATATATATATATATATATATGTATGTATATATGTATATATATATATATGTATATATATATATATATATATATATATATATATATATATATACACATATATACACACATACACTGCTGTGTGTGTGTGTGTGCTGTGTGAGGGTGCTGTTAGTGTGATGTGTGTGTGAGGGTGCTGGTAGTGTGCTATGTGGGTGAGGGTGTTTGTGTGTGCACGCTTGTGAGGGTGCTGTTAATGTACTGTGTGTGAGGGTGCTGTTTGTGTGTGCACTTGTGAGGGTGCTGTTAATGTACTGTGTGTGAGGGTGCTGTTTGTGTGTGAAGGTACTGGTAGTGTGCTGTGTGTGTGTTTGATAGGGTCCTGTTTGTGTTTGTGAGGGTACTGTTAGTGTACTGTGTGTGTGTGAGGGTGCTGTTTGTGTGCTGTGTGTGAGGGTGCTGTTTGTGTGCTGTGTGCAAGGGTGCTGTGTGTGTTTGTGAGGGTGCTGTTTGTGAGGGTGTTGTTTGTGAGGGTGCTGTGTGTGTGTGTGTGTGCTGTATGTGTGTGTGGGTGCTGTATGTGTGTGGGTGCTGTGTATGTCTGTGGGTGCTGTATGTGTGTTGGTGCTGTATGTGTGTGGGTGCTGTATGAGTGTGGGTGCTGTGTATGTGTGTTGGTGCTGTGTATGTGTGTGGGTGCTGCATGTGTGTAGGTGCTGTGTATGTCTGTGGGTGCTGTATGTGTGTGGGTGGTATGTATGTTTGTGGGTTCTGTATGTGTGTTGGTGCTGTATGTGTGTAGGTGTTGTGTATGTCTGTGGGTGCTGTATGTGTGTAGGTGCTGTGTATGTCTGTGGGTGCTGTATGTGTGTTGGTGCTGTGTATGTGTGTGGGTGCTGTATGTGTGTTGGTGCTGTGTATGTGTGTGGGTGCTGTGTGTATGTCTGTGGGTGCTGTATGTCTGTTGGTGCTGTGTATGTGTGTGGGTGCTGTATGTGTGTGGGTGCGTGTGGGTGCTGTATGTGTGTAGGTGCTGTGTATGTCTGTGGGTGCTGTATGTGTCTGGGTGCTGTATGTGTGTGGGTGCTGTATGTGTGTAGGTGATGTGTATGTGTGTGGGTGCTGTATGTGTGTGGGTGCTGTATGTGTGTAGGTGCTGTGTATGTGTGTGGGTGCTGTATGTGTGTGGGTGCTGTATGTGTGTAGGTGCTGTGTATGTCTGTGGGTGCTGTATGTGTATAGGTGCTGTGTATGTATTTGGGTGCTGTATGTGTGTGGGTGCTGTATTTGTGTGGGTGATTGTGGGGGGTGGAGGTGGAGGTACATTACTTAATATCCCCCCTCCCTTCTTACTTTATGTAGGGAGGGGGGATTCTTGTTCCTTGCTGCCTTCCCTGGTGGTCCAGTGGAGGTGGGGGCAGATTACTTAATATCCCCCCTCCCTTCTCACCTTATGCCTGTGAGGGGGGATCCTTTCTGCCATCCCTGGTGGTCCAGTGGTGAGTGAACTCTAGCCTGCGGGGCTAGAGTTCACTCTCGCGAGATCTGAGCACACCCCGTGCGCACGCCTATGAATGTATGTTTGTAATATAAGTGGTTTAGGAGGAAACAAACATGCTTGAAATACTATATTTAATATGCCAAATATAGATAGAAACAGAAAAATGAATATCACTCCAACTCATAATTGATTACAAGAGCACCCTGGGAGCACTCTTGTAAATAGTGAAAACAATTAGATAATTAAAACCAGAGTGTCATCTCATTACATATCTCACTGACACCATGCTGATTGGCCTGGGTGTGAGTCCCTTCCAATCAGAGACAATAGCAAACTACGCGTATACAACACGCTCTTCACCGCAAGATAAGAACTCGTGAGTTAAAACTGTTTAACAGATTAATTCCATCGAGATACAGCTAATTAAGCAATTAACACAATACTTAATTTGTGAATCTTGACAAAATTTATGTAAAGCGTACAATCCTCACTCTCACTGCTAAAGTCTTCAATTACTTAATTTTTACATGTAATTTAGCTTTAACGGTTTCGCACAGCGACTGAAAGAAAATCATTCACAAGATGAAGAATAGTTTGTGTTAATGGGCGCAATAAGACAACATGCTTGTCCATTTAAATTAAAATGATGTATAAAATTACAAGTAAGGAACTAAAATTCTGCCAATTAATGTGAGCTTATAAACAATCAAGCGTTTGCAGATACAACGCACAGCAGTTACTTTTCCCATTATCTTCATCTTTCCTTCGGAATCATAACAAGTTCACATGTATCAAACTCACAAATGGTATACTGTGTCTGTTGAGAATCATTTATCAAAAATAACAATTATTTTAGAAAGCGCAAACAGCTTTCTGTGGAATAGAAAGCCATCATTGTGAAACAGCAATTAACCTGAGCATATTGTACGATGACTTCTTGGGCTTATTTTAAGTAATTCTACCATTCTTGTAATTTACCAGATGTATGGACATATATCTTTTTATCCAATTTACCTCTAGCTTGGTATTATGAACTTCTTCAGACTTTCTTTTTAAAGATCTTCTGATTCACTTAAACGGTAAGAAAGGACCACGATTAATGAGCCCTGTAATATGTTGCATTGTTAGTACATTAAAACTCAAGACCCCTAAAGCACTTTAGCTTTCTGAAAAGCTCTATGTGTGAAGAGTGTGCCTCTTTTTTTCATTTTGGAAAAAGTGCAGCTTTCAATGGAAATTTACACTTTTAAAATTATAATGGTTACACTCCCGGACTTCTCTAGTAGACTATAAATTCAGTTACTTCCTGGTTTGGTTAGCTTAGTTGCAATGAGCTCAAGAGGAAGCTGTGATTGAACAGTCACATCAAGTCTGGACCCGAAAGGGATGGCTTACACAGGCTGCAAGTTTTGCAAGCTGTGTTTAGATATAACTCCAATAGAAAATGCATAATTAAATGCATGCAAGTTTTCATTTGGGGCATATCTATTAAACAGTGATTTTTAACAAATATTTTGTATTTAGGCAGTGGATTGTCCCTTTAAATACATGTTCCTATGCAAGTGTTAACTTACGTTTTGCACAAAAAAAAAAAAAACAATAATAAGCTTAGCTCTGAGACAGAGGACACTCCCAGGGTACCTGCACTGTATCCACACTCTTTATCTGTTTTATTTTGTGGTCTGTCTGCTGGGCTCGTTGCACCTTTTTACTCTGAACCTTTGGTTCAGAATCAAAAAGTTGCTTAGAGACAGACTCCTTCTCCTGAGCTGGCTTGGGTGTATGTCGGAGGTGTGATTGTGATAAGCTGACAAGGATCGTGGTTCCCCCATCAGTATGCTCCCCTGCGGCCATTTTCCCTGGACCCACAGGTTGAGACTGTCCCTGCCCCTCACTTTGGGCAGGCCTTGGACGGGTCCCCCTTTCTACTGATGGAACCTCTGTCTCTCCCTCACCTCCACTCCATGTCCTCACACACACAGCACCTTGGGAACTGGCTGAGTCTTGTGCAGAGTAAGGCTCACACACACTCTGCCCTCCCTCAAAGCCATGCTCTCCCTCCACACTTTCACACAGCCCAGCCAATACATTGGCGTCAGGCAGATTTTGGCACACATATTCATTCAACCCTCTCTCCCTAGAATTCTCTTCCTGCACATTGTCACATAACACCTTTAGCACCCCTTGGTCAGGCACTGGATGTGAAACACACTCACGTAATTTCCTCTCCCAGCCAGGCCATCCTTCCATAATCTCACATAGCCACTCACTTTGTCCTTGTTCTGGCACCTGACATACTCCTGACTGAGATACAGGTGAACACATCAACTCATCCTGCCCTGGTTCCCAATGGTTTGATCCACTTGTGTTTTCACATGTCATCTTAAACAACCCTGGCTCTGACACAGATAGGCACACACGCTCATCCAGCCCTGCCTCGCTGTGCAGCTGTTTTTGCCCACTCACACATGGTATTGCAGGCACCCCTAGTGCTGGCACAGACACGCACACATGCTCAATTTGCCCTCGCTCCCAGCACAATTGCCGGCATACACCTTCACCTGTTTCCACAGACACCCCTGGTTCAGGCACAGATTGATACACATTCTGCCCTCCCTCCCAGTGAAGTTGTCCTGGCAAACTCTCTCCTTGTACCACAGACAACTCTGGTTTTGGCACAGCCTGGCACACATGCTCATTCTGCCCTCCCTCCCAGCAACTTTGTCTTGGCACATTCTCACATGATATTGCAGACACTTCTGGTTCAGGCACAGACCAGCACACATGCTCAGTCTGCCCTCCCTCCCAGCACAATTGTCTGCATACATTTTCACAAGTTTCCACGGACACCCCTGGTTCTGGCACAGATTGACACACATTCTGCCCTCCCTCCCAGCAAAGTTGCCCTGGCAAACTTTCACCTGATACCACAGACAATTCTGGTTTTGGCACAGCCTGGCACGCATGCTCATTCTGCCCTCCCTCCCAGCAACTTTGTCTTGGCACACTCTCACATGATATTGCAGACACCTCTGGTTCAGGCACAGACCCGCACACATGCTTATTCTGCCCTCCCTCCCAGCACAATTGTCTGCATTCATTTTCACATACTGCCCTCTGCACAGGAGGGCCCCTATGAGGCTTGGGTTTATAACACACGATACTTTCTGGCACATACTGGGATAACAATCTACCTAAGTCAGTACCAAGTAATACATTTGCAGGGATATTCTCATCTACCCCCACATTTCTGAAACCCTTCCCCGCTCCCCAATCCAAATAAACTCGTGCCATTGGCACTACAAGTCGTACCCCCCCCAATTCCTTTAACTGCTAGAGTCCTGCCAGGAATTAAGTCCTCAGAGCACACTAGCTCTGGACGCACAAGAGTCACATCTGCCCCAGTGTCCCTGAGTCCCACAGTTACCTCTCTTCCAACTGTCACAGGCTGCAGATTCACATTGTTGCTGCCTTCTGATCTGGTTACAAACAACACAGAGGACGTTGGTTCTGAGGAGCGTCCCTCCCCAGCTGATGATGCTGGCTGCCGTTTCCCAGGGCAAGCAACACTAATGTGCCCAACTTGGTTGCAAATAAAACATCTGCGACTATCTCCTTGCGCAGACATGGCACTAGCTCCCCCTCTCCCTGAGGTAGGAGCTGAAACAAAAGATGGCCAGCTAGGCCTGGCGATGGGGAGTCGTGGTGGTGTGGTCCTCCAGCTGGATGTTCCCTTGGCAAAACCTCTGCTCCGGTCCACTGTTGCTCGATTGGCAGTGTGGAAATCTGCCAGCTCACCCGCCTCCAATGCCGTTTTGGGGTTCCTGTCCAGCAACCATTCCTGTACATCGGCTGGGCAGAGCTGCAAAAACTGTTCTTTTATTAACAGGTCTTGCAAACTTTCCAAAGTGGTAATCTCCAGCCCTGTAGTCCACTGTCGGAATAATGTCGCCAGGTGCCCCACAACTGCTGCATAACTTTCTGTGGGATGCTTTTGCAAAGTCCTGAATTTCTTTCGGTACACCTCAGGAGTAAGGTTGTACCGTTTTTGCAAGGCAGCCTTAATCACATCATAGTCCTGGTCAAATTCTGCTGGAAGTGCAGCAAATGCTTCCAGTGCAGGACCTCTGAGACCAGGGGTGAGGTATTTTGCCCATTGGTCCTTTGGTAGCTGGTACTGCCTGCAAACCTTTTCAAAACTGCGCAGGAAAACATCCAAATCACCATCTTTGTCCAAAGTTGGAAAATTCTCTGCACGTGGTTTGGATGCAGAAGAGTCTCTGGAATTAATACTTATAGGGGAGGCAGTCAACCTCTCTAACTCAGCCATTTTTAGCTCATGCTCTCTGGCAGCTTGTCGCTCGGAGGCCTCTCTCTCAGCCTGCCGCTCTGCAGCCTCTCTCTCCCTCTCAGCTTGGCGCTCAGCAGCCTCTCTCTCCCTCTCAGCTTGGCGCTCAGCAGCCTCTCTCTCCCTCTCAGCTTGGCGCCCAGCAGCCTCCTGATATTGAAGGATAAGCTGTAGTCTTTGGTTTGCGTCTGCTGAGTCCACATATTTCAACACAGTTTGTAAGTAACAATCCAAAGGATCTCCAGAACTCGGTACATCACGGACAAAAGCTGCAGGTATCTCCCCTGCAGTGTTTGAGGCATCATTTTGCACTGCTTGTTGCATATCATAGTCCATGAGTGCTTGCAATAGTTCCTCTTTTGTTTTTCCCCGACAGGGAATAGATCTCTCCCGGCAAAGCTGGTCTAGCGCTGCCTTGGATTGCGTCTGGTACTCCATTTAGTAAATAAAAGATAGCAAAGAAAAAACAGAGAAGGGGGGGGACTGTTGAGGTGTAAATATATTATATATGCGCTGAGTTCAGCCTTTGGAAATTGAGACACAATTTCTTTCAGTGCCTGGATTAACCAACAAATCCAGCAACACAAAAATCTGGTACAAAAAGATGAAAAATCTTTTTAGTTATCCCACCGCTATGCCACCAATTTGTCACGAACGCACCCTACTCCAAGAGTGTGCGTGACGTAGTTGTGGTGGTGAAAGGGTTAAAGTACACTATTTGTCTGCACTAGACCGGAAATAATGACAAAATCCCCCTTTAACACCACCCACACTTAAACATAATAGTATAACTATTACTACTTTAACGCTGCCACCACCAAGACAATTTATAAATGGGGTGCCTTGGTCCCCCAGGTAAATCAATAATAAAACCCACCAAATATTACTTAATACAATATTTAAGGAATTATAAAAATACTAACTAGTCTCTTCAGGTAACGTGATTCTTAACCAGACAAAGGCAAAACTTAATAAATGAATGTTTATAAAGAGCAAAAGATAGTCACAGTGCATATAAAAATATATGATAAACAAATTATTTACACCAACAACAGATAAAAACAAAAAGGATAAAATACAGAAGTCCTAATTACTCACTTAGGTTTTCAAAGTACAACTTCTGTCCAGGGGGTCTCTGGCAAGGAAAGATGGTGACTCACCCAAAATTAGATCTTGGCCCCAAGCAAGTACACCAACACCCTTCAGGATCATTAGATATATACCCTGTGGTTTATCAAGTCTTGCCCAGGGGTGGAGTTAAGGCGTACCTACAGTAATAATAACTGACCACCTCCTTTGTTCCAGACCACTGTCAATCCAAATGGAGACATTTGACTCTATCTTCTTTTTTGTACCTGCCACAGAAATAATAATTGCATCTACAAATTTGTTATTATTTTCCCATTCCATAGACTTGTTGCACGTCCCACCCACGATCCAATAGGACGGACATCACAATTCCTTTCCCTAGGGTCAAGTTAGGCCACTCCTGTTTGGACTTGGTTAGAAGATGGCGCTTGTCACATTCCAAATATAACAAAAATGAGGCTTCATTATTATTCTGTGGGGGTAAATATGAATGTTTTTTGTCCTTCATTTGGATATGATACTAGAACAAAGCTAATGGCATTTACATATCAAAGAGATTTACTCACCACTTACAAAGTACAGGCCAAATGGATCAAGAGACATTCAGACTTTTTCCAAGTGTAGAACCTCACACCTTGCAGACTTCACATCCATACAGTAAAATCCTTTTCACATTCCTATGCCATTCACACTACCCCTTCTGTCATCTGCCCTCTGTGGGGGTCCCAGCTTCAAAAGATGTAACCCCTGTTGACCTCAGCAATAGCATCTCTGTAATTTGTGCCATTTACTACAAGAAATCACATTAAAAGATGATATTCCATAGTGTCATAATAAATTATACACCCTTGCCGTGACAGTGTCAATTTCTATTGAAATCTGCACTTTTTCCAAAATGAAAAAAGGCACACTCTTCACACATAAAGTTTTTCAGAAAGCTATAGTGCTTTAAGGGTCTTGAGTGTCTCTTTAATGTACTAACAATGCAACATATTACAGGGCTTTCACCCTCCCTCCTGCTTTTTCCCTTCATCCCTTCCTCCCTCCCCTTGCCGGCTCTGAGCATGCACATGCACTTCTCCAGTCTCAATATTATTCAACCCCTACATGACGAGCATCCTTTTTACTTAGTAGAGCAACCGTTTGCTGTTATGACCTGTTGCAAAACGAGATGCATTGCCAGACACCAGCTTCAGTGCCTTCACTATTTTTTTGTATCCTATTCCTCGTTTTTGATGATCTCTTCTCTTAACTTTGTAGACTATTCTTTTGACTTTGCCATATTTCTAACATACAGTCAAGCGTGACAATCAACAAACCCCTAGCCAGTTCAGGTATTTTAAGTGTTTCAGCTCAAGCAAACTTGATGCAACTAATGAAGCCCTAGATTAGTTGCATCCAGTGTGCTTAAGACAACACCTGTTTTGCATATTTGTGCTGTTGTGAAGGATTCTATTCAGGGGTTGAATGATTTTGAGACTGGAAAAGTCATTATACATTGAATTTTCAGTTGAATTTGGGGAATCACTTGAAATATTCATTGTTTTGAGCTATTTCAATTGCTTTTGTTTGATTTGTGTAATTGCAAACAGTTGAAAGTCTGTACCTATTGACAATAAACTTGATTTTTAATGGGGGTTGAATAATTTTGCTTACAACTGTACATTTTCATGAATCACTAGCAAAACATTATGTGATATATTGACATCTTACTTATAGAGATGTCGCAAACCGTCCGTGAACTTCTCGCGAACGGTTCGCCACGGTTCGCCACGAACCATTCGCGGCGAACTCCGGTCAGCTGACACATCCAGGCCAATCTCCAGCAGACCCTCCCTCCCAGACCCTCCCACCTCCTGGACAGCATCCATGTTGAAGCTGCCTTCAACATGGATGCTGTCCAGGAAGTAGGAGGGTCTGGGAGGGAGGGTCTGTTGGAGATTGGCCGGGATGTGTCAGCTGACCGGAGTTCGCTGCGAACGGTTCACGACATCTCTACTTATTTACAGTGTCAAAATGCTCCTTAATTAATCTAATATATTGAGAAGTAAACAGTGATGATAAACGAGGTTTAAAATATTAATATGATACAACTGCGAAAAAAAATAATTCCAATGAATATGTTAATAAACACAGTAAATGTTTATTTAGCATGTAACTCTAAAATATGTTTATATAAACACCTAACAATTCTTCCAGAAACTGATATGTGTGAGTAAACTTACAAAAAATTGAGTCATTGTTTATTTAATCACCGTTCAATGTAGTGAGGGAGGTTATGCCATTTGTTGGGTGTGCACAAAGTAAAACAATGACTCTTACTTTGGGTCAAGTGAAAGCATTGGAAACATATGCTGAGTAGGTGGAGATGTGAAGCTGGATAGCAGATGGTTTCACATAATAGCAGGTTGCCTTGTATAAGAAGGTTATAAACAAACAGAATGCCGATTTCCGGAGAACAAAGACGAGTGATTAAATCAGCCGATCACCTCTGTAGCTTTATAGTGATTTAAGTTAAGAATATTGAAGCAGCTATATAATTACAATTACCTGTGTTATGAACACTGCACACTGCATACTAGACTTAGATAGCCTTCATTATGATACATTCAGAAGGTACCATTACATACACTGTACTTTCAGTGTTATATACAGATATTGTATACAGATTGGGACGTTATTTGTATGGTGTGGCTTCTATGATGAGGGAAGACATGCTTTAATATATATTCAGACTATACCACCCATACAAGATTTATTATTTTATTTTATATATTTATTTATTTCATCTGCCCCTTTTTCTATTCTTTATTCCAGTTTTTGCTCTGTGATTTCTAAACATCCTGCATTTACTCTACTTAGAGGAGGGGAGGTGGTTATTAGTACTTTTTAAGGGGTGCCCTTGAAGGCACAGCAGAGTAGTGAAGCTAGTCTCTCCAATTTTAGCTTTCTCTCCTGCCTATATATACGATCTTCTGTAGGGCTGCTCTGCTAGTATTCCAACCACATTTATCTTTGTCCCTCCTCTCTATTTATTAGACTGGCAACATGTGTTACTTTTGCTAGCAGTTACATTTGCTGTTATTTTGTATCTACTTTTTTCAGTATTTCTTCTTACTTCTAACTACCACTGACTCACAGAGTGATATTATTGAATTCTTATTATTTATTTCTTTATGTTATTTCTTTATGTTATCCAAATAATAGGGTTATATTTTTTTTATTACTTTACTAATTTATTTATTTATATTTTGTGATTTAGGAGTTTTATTTACTCACATTTAAGCACAAGCTATATTTACTCTGCTTATTCTTATTTTTTATTACATCATTTTTTTTACACTATATTAATTAAAAGTTTCGTTTTATCTGGGTTATTTGTATTTCAGAAGGGTTCACCTACTATGGTTGACCCTTTTGTTTCTTCTCTCTATTCTTTTGTATACAGATCCATTCTTAAGGTAACTTGCTTGGTGTGCATATTTTTCCTATCAACATTTCTTATATCCTCTATTGATCCTATTAGAGGCAGCAACATAAAAGTCAATTATATTTGTAAAGACCTGGCTGGCATGTGGTGTTTCAGCCAGCAGTTAGGAGAGCAACATGGATTAAAAAAGAGAGTAAGAGGAAAAGCAAAGAGGATATAAGCTACATCTATTTCTCCCATAACTTCAAATCAAAGAGAAGCCTACTGAAATCATCATGGACTTCAAATATTCTGAGCTGGAAGCAATTTTAACCCACGTCGATTGATATGTTCATTTAGATAAAAGAAGGAGAATTGAGAAGTTTAATGATCAGCCGCAACATTAAAACCACCTGCCCAATATTGTGCAGGTCACTCATGTGCTGCCAAACCAACTTTAATGCATGAACACTACAAGAACTCTATGCATGTCCAGTGGTATCAGGTATCAAGACATAAGCAGCAGATCCTTAAAATTCTGCAATTCCATGGATCGAATTTGTTGTTCCAGCACATTCCACATATGCTCAATTGGTTTGAGATCTGGGGAATTTGGAGTCCAAGGCAACAACCTGAACACTTAAGCATGTTCCTCAAACCATACCTGAACATTGTTTGTAGTTTTACGCGGTGCATTGTCCAGCTGCCACTTCCATGGGGGAACATTACTGCAATAGGTGGCATGTGGTATATGTCAAAGTAACATATTAATGCCAGGACCAAAGGTTTCCCAGCAGAACATTGCCCAAAGCATAACACAGCCTTCTTCCCATAGTGCGTCCTGCGGCCATCTTTTTCCCAGTAAATGACCCACATGCTGACTCAGCCATCTAGCCATCACTAATTGACCCTTGTCACTGAGATCCTTTCACTTGCCCATTTAAACTGCTTCCAGCAAATCAAATTAAAGAACTGACTGCTTACCTCGAGAGGTGCTATTGCAACGATATAATCAATCTTATTACATTAGCTGTCAGTAGTTTTAGTAGTGTAGCTGATCAGTGTATTTGTTTAGCACCCAAATGCAAATATGGAGAAAACAAAAAGGGAAAAAAGAAAATTTCAAATCCTTAAGGACTTTCTGCCTGTTGATACAGCTGGTCTGTAGTATTTATTAATTTCCATATATTTATTCTATTGATATTCTGCACTATACTGATAATATAGTAGAAAGCATTAGACTTGGGGATTTGGATCAAACAGCAGAATTGCCACTGATTTAGTGTCGTTTTGAATCTTAGAAATTTTAAATGAACTTGAACTGACATTCTTCACAACCAATTACATTTTGGAAATTCAAACTGTATGATTTTGGAAGAACCAAAATATTTTCACCGTGCACAAGTCAAGTAGCCACTGCAACCTAACAACAACCTGAATCACTAATTTACAGATTGAGAGTTTTTGTTGTTGTTAAAGGGACATTATAGGAAAAAAAAATTTTCCCCTTTATTGTAGGTCTTCCCTGGCAATTTTCAAATGGATCTGACAATTTTAGAATCAAACCAAAATTTTGAATCAAACCCAAAAATCTTTTTTTAAATTTTTTCAAAATCAGGACCAAATCTATATGGAAGAATTGAAACTTTTCCCCATGCACAAGTCTAGAAAACATTAAATTGCTCAATCCCCAGTAGCCCCACTCATCTACTTTGTAAATGCACCAGAATGTAATCACTTTAATATTCAGGGATCAGGGAATATATTACCATACGTTACAATGTAAAGTCAATTTTATTACCACTACCATCATGTATTTAATCTTACTAGTCTTTGTATGCCACTCTTTTCTAACAGGCCTTCTTATATAGCTTGTGGGAGACTTTCCCTAGAACAAACATATAATAATGAGATCATTGTGAGCAAGCATTCCGAAACCTTATTACTCCTATGTCCCCTATCTCCCACAACACCACTTTCACTGACCACAGATACATGGCACAGTATCCTGTTCTACAATATATTAATGTGACACAATTTACACATAGTGGTATCAGCATTTCAAAGATTATTAAAATATCTATAACTCCACATATTCATAATAAAAGGAACATGTTGTCTTATCCCTCTTATTTTTTTAAATATATCTGACCATTTAAGTTTACATTTAATATCAGGAAACAGGAAGATTTACTTATTTAGTGATGTTTAACGTTTTGGTGGAAATTTTCCATTAGTACTTAATTAAAGAAAAAAATCTTTACCTTGGAAGAATATGGACTAATCCAATCCCTTATATCATATCAAATAGCTCCTATGTTCCTCTTGGGGATAAGCCCTGTATGTATGTGGCTGGTATCTACAACAGTGGCAGCATCTTAATTTGTTTTGTTTTTGTTTGGCAGCATCCCATTTTGTGATGATGTCCCATGTAAGATACAACTGGCAGTAAAATACTTCCAGATAAATCTGATTCTGAAATCTGTGAGGTGAGGTGGCGGGCATATAAGCAATTCATTTATTTTAACAAAGAGTCCAAACCCCTGCTGTGGATGCACCTCTATAAGAATTATTCTGTTGCCTTGGAGATGCTCAGTACTGATGGAGTAGAGCAGGGACAGGCAACCTTCGGCACCCCAGATGTTGTGGACTACATCCACCATAATGTTCTTACACCTATAATGCTGGCAAAGCATCATCTGAGGTGTAGTCCAAAACATCTGGAGTGCCGAAGGTCGCCTGGAGTAGAGCAAAGTTGCAGAGAGGAAGCAGGAGTTCCCAACTATCCAAATAGAAAGGTTAAAAAGCTATTTGTAATGTTAAAGTGTTCCTTTAAAATATAATTTTATGACAATTAATTAACTTTTTGACAATTATGTAGTATATATTAATCCTAGCTGTCTCAATAGTATTGACAAACAATAATAAATATGACTCACAGCATTTTTTTTCTTCACAGAGGAAATGTACTGCACTGGGATCATGTACACAAATCAAATTAAAAAGAAAATGTGCAACATTTTTCCAGTCTGTACCTTTGAGTTGGAAAGTGTATTTACAGAGCAGTATTTTATTGAAATTCATCTATCCCTAAACACACCTACACACATTTATTAATAATTTATGTGCGAAAAGTCAAGTACATTTGGACACATACACAAAATACATTATGCATTGTTTTGCAACCTGAATCTTTGTGTATGTAGGAGGTTTGTATTGTAATTGGATACATTATAAATTTTTGTTCTAGGGAAGCAGTCATTTTTTTCTGGCAACAACGAACTTTAACACTGGCTAATAATATACAATCTCAATAAAATGCATATTTAATGTGGTTACATATCAGCATATGCAAAGGTTTTAGCACAAGCTATAATAATATTTGATAAAGTCAAACCCAGTGCAAGTTTTGATAATTGTTAAGGAATCCCTCCAAACACCATCATTATTACATGAGCCCTGGCGTCCCCCCACTGGGATCTACAACCTGCCTCCACTACTTTAGTTTGAGAACTAGAAGCTTTAAAGCAGGAGCTACCATTGGTTTTTTTTAGCA